GGAAACTTTTCACGTGAGGCCTTCCGGCGCCCGTTCAGGTTTTTAGAGACAATAATTCTAGCTACGCCAAGGTACTCCACCTCTCTCGTTCTCCTCTATAAAATGGGAATTAAAATATACAAATACCCACTTCACAGGGTCACTGTGAGGATTAATACATGAAATGTTGAGGTTGCGCCGCCCAGCATGACAGCTCGGGGCAAGGCAGCTGCTTCACAGGTCTTCATTTATGGAGGACTCACCCTCCCTCCACCAGGCTCTCTGGCGAAGATGAAAGAAATGCGGCCCCTAACTCAGCTAGTGAGGATGATCAACGACTCAAATGCTCTAAGAAACAGAAACATGTATTAAATGTGTGGGAACCCTGAAGAAAGAACATTTAATTCTGTCTCCGGGGACTGCGGCAGTCAAATAAGGATCACACGTTCCCCTGGGTCTTGATGAACGTTATGGGTTAAATTGTGTCTCTCCAAAAAAGATAGGTTGAAATCTTAACTCCCAGTACATCAGGATGTGACCTTATTTGGACATAGGGTCATCCTATGTAATAAAACCCTAATATGCAAATCGACCGAACAGCGAAACAACCCGTCACTATGACGGGCACTGACCACCAGGGGGCAGACGCTCAATGCAGGAGCTGCCCCCTGGTGGTCAGTGTGCTCCCACAGGGGCAGTGCCGCTCAGCCAGAAGCTGAGCTCATGACTGGCGCCTCCACTGCAGGCAGGTGGTAAGGAGCGAGGGGTCCCAGACTACAAGAGCTCCAGACTGCGAGAGGGATGTCCGCCTGCTGGCTTAGGCCCAATAGTTCATAAATGTCGTGCACCGGGCCTCTAGTTGCAGATATAATAAGATAAGGTCATGCTGGTGTAGGTTGTGACTAGTGCTCTTATGAGAAGAAAAGAGACACACAGACAGACATAGATACATTATACGACAATGGAGGCGGAGACTGGAGGATGCTTCTCTACAAACCAAGGAACCCCAAGGATTGTGGGCAAAGACCACATACTAGGAAGAGGCAAGGAACAGGTCTTCCTCAGAGCATCTAAAAAGGAATCAACTCTGCCAACACCTGGATTTCATCTGCTAGCCTCCAGAACTGTGAGGGAATATATTTCTCTTGTTTTAAGCCAGCCAACTTGTGGCCATTTATTACAACAACCCTAGAAAACGAATACAACTGGGTGAGTAGGAATAAAGGGAAGGGAATTAGAAAACTCTCCAAAGAAAGCCTTTCAAAACAGAATGCCTAGTGCAGTCAAGGCCCTGTGTCTTGGGGTATCTCAAGATGAATCAGACACAGACCCGGCCCTCAAGGGGTTACCACTCACGAGGATGCCTGAGCAGCCAAGTTTGCTGACTCCTTCCCAGGAAGACTATGGAAGCCTTTCCCCAGCCTCATCATTCCTATATCTATGGCCCCTCCAACTCCACGTGGACAAGACGTCTCTCCAGTTCAAATGCCACTTGTATTGCTGGTGTGTTTGCTTCTACAGAGCACTTGCTGCATCATGCCAGTTATCATGCCATCTCTGAACCGGCTCTGCCTGATTTCAAATAGACAAGAGTCTGGCACATGGTAAGTGCTTGCATCAGGCAGCACTTTTTCTCCTGCATAATAAAACACCCCAAACTTAGAAGTGGCTTAAAACAATAACTACTTAGTTCATGATTTTAAGGGCCAGCATTTTAGTTTGGGTTCAGTTGGGCAGTTGTTCTGGCCTCAGCTGGACTCCCACATGCACCGAGGGTCAGTGGCTAGGCAGCCAGAGGCCTCTGCTTCTGGGAGTGGCTAGCTGCTGACGGAGGTAACTGGGCCACATGTCTCTCCTTCACCAGCAGGCTAGCCCAGACTAGCTCACATGGAGCTTTGGGGTTCTAAGAGCAAGAGCGGAATCAGGCCAGGACTCTCAAGGTCTAGGCTAAAAACTGGCACTATACCACTGCCATAATTGTATTGGCTAAACCAGCGGTTCCCAACCTTTTTTTTGGCCATGCCCCAACTAAGATCTCTAAAATCCTGATGCCCCCGCCCCCATGTGACATATAATTCTTATTATTCAAAAAGTGAACTATTCACATGGAGGACGCCTAAAAGGCCATTAACTTAGTCTAAACAAGCTTCCAAAGAAGTTGGCATCCATGAAAGAGAAAAATAAAAGAACGAAAGGACAGTTGAAGTACTGAGGAAGAAATCACTAAGAAAGTATTTAAAAAATAATAATATGAAGTGATATGAAAAACCAGCAAGTAAACTTTCAAAACATATAATAGAGAACTGAAATGCATGTCAGAATATATATATATTTATATACTGTATATGAAGCCCCTAGAACCATGGTCGGCAAACTGCAGCTCGCGAGCCACATGCGGCTCTTTGGCCCCTTGAGTGTGGCTCTTCCTAAGCCTTAGGAGTACCCTAACTAAGTTAATAACAATTTACCTACCTATATAGTTTAAGTTTAAAAAATCTGTCTCTCAAAAGAAATTTCAATCGTTGTACTGTTGATATTTGGCTCTATTGACTAATGCGTTTGCCGACCCCTGCCCTAGAACCATAAGAAATGCAAAAAAATCACTGTTAACTCATTCTCGAATTGCCCCCCTTAAAAATCAAATTGCCCCCATGTGGAGCATGTGTCCCACACTGAGAACCACTAGGCTAAACCAAGTCACAAGTTCAACCCAGGTAAAAGGGTGGGGAAACAGACTCCATGTTCTGATGGCAAGAGCAGCAAAGTCACATTGCAAGGAACACGGGTACAGGGATGGCTAGAGAATTGCAGCTGGTTTTGCAATCTGTCTCAGTGCTCAATAAATAATCCCACAATACCTAGTGGGTGCTCAGTAAATATTTACCGACAGTTCTAAGGTTTTCAACCATTGATGTTCACAGATTTCACGGAACACAATCAATTGGCAAAATTTTATCTCTTACAAAATACCCACTGCCACCTTCAGGTTCAGAATAACAAAGGAAGGGCTCAGAAAGACAGAGCTGTGCAAGGAGAAGCCACACTAAGGCTTCTCAGCTGGCCCAAACGGGTTGCTATGAACAAATCCAGAGCAACTTTGGAGGTCTGGGCCCTTTAAGGCCCTGGTCCAAACCTGGTCACCTGAACTGGAAGCCACATACCCTTCACCTATGAACAGAAAGAGGCTCAGATGTTTGCCAGGGCTTGCACACAGCCCGCTGATGCCTGGAAAGCCTTGCAAACCAGGAAACCTCTTGTGCAATGACAAACTTGTTTGGCTGTTTCCCGGAGGATCTACCCCTTGCTGAGAAAAATAAATCTTCAGGGCACTTGTGCAAAGGACACTACCCTGTGGGCAGAGAGAACAACTCAACTTAGATGACTGAGAGCCCTGATGGGACCACTTCCTGTCTGACAATGAACTAGAATCAGAATCAAGGGCTGTTGTTGGCAGAACTGGGGAGACTATTGGGTTTGGTGATTTGAAAGTTGTTCGTGAACATGGCTGGGGCCTGGACTAGAGGACAATAACAACACATAGTCACTTAGTCTGCATTAGGCACTGCTGTGAGCATTTTACACATATTTACTCATTTAATCCTCATAACAGCCCTCGTCATCCTACACACTTCTCCCCCACCACGGTCTACTGAGTAATTCTCAGGCTCTAACCACAGTGGAAATAAGATACAATTGTGGCCTCTTTGATTTTTCCCCTGAGCAGAGTTCTTCTTCATGGGCTCATCCTCTCTCTTCCACGCCTTTGTGGATGTGGAAACCCCTTTGGGTCCTCCTGTGAAGCCTGCTTTCCCCTTAAGGACTCCCCAGTCAACGCATCTCCGTGCTCACCACATTGTGTATCTCAGCCTGAGGGAACCTCTCATTTCCTTCTACTGTCGTTGAACAAGTGGAACACCCTGTCCTAGAAATACATGCAGCCTGTTAAACTTTTAGATCCTCAAAAGGCACTAAAAGCTCTTCGAAGACAATAAGCAGATCTTATTCATCCTTGACTCTCCCTTTGATGCCCAGCACAGTATTGCATTTAAACCTAGATCAGTGTTATTCAATTTACAAGTCATTACCTGTTAGCAGGTTGAGAAATCAATTGAGTGACTGTATTAGTTATTATGGCTGCATAAGAAATTACCCAAAACTTAGTGGCTAAAAAAAACATTCATTGTGCCATGTTTGTATGGGTTAGGGATCTGGGTGTGGCTTAGCGGGTCCTCTGGCTCTGACTCTCCCACAGTCTCTCAAAGCGTGGAATCCTCTTCCTAGTTCACTCCTGAGTTCACACGGGTGCTAGCAGGAGGGAGTTCTCTGAGCTGTTGGACTAATACCTCGAGTCCTCACAAGCTGTCGGCAAGGGGCCTCCATCAGGTCTTCGCTATGTGATCTTTCCACAGAGCTTCCTTCAGCATGGCAGCTTGCTTTATCTGAGCGAGCAAGCGAGAGGGCAGGAAGGGACGAAGAAACACAGAAGAGATTAATGCGAAGGAGAAGAAAGGGTAGAGAAAAAGAGAACAGTCAGATGAGGACCAAAGAGTGTCCACTGGATGGGACATCAAAGCAGCTTCTGTGCAATGGAGGCCAAAGTGAAGTGACTGAAGAGTAAATGAATGGTAAAGAGTGATCAGCAAGTACAGACAACTCCTTCAGGAAGTGTGGCTGGAACAAAGGAGGTAAAAATGGCCCGACCTTGGAAGGGCCTTAGGACCTAGGGAGGGATGGTTAAAGATGTAGGGCAAGCATGTCAAACTCACAGCCGGAGGGCCACATGCCTCGTTTGCCCACTAGCCGCGAGTTTGACATGCTTGATGTAGAGACTTGAGTATGTTTCAACTCTGATGCCAAAAAGTTAGGGGACACAGTTGGATATAAGAGAGCACAGGCCTAAACTCTGTAGCCCCTCAACATACAATGGAGCCTTCTGGATCGCCCCATGTCTTAATCTGCTCAGATGGCCATAACAAAAAACCATACAGTGGAGGCTTTAACAACTGAATTTTATTTCTCACAGTTCTGGAGGCTGGAAGTTCCAGATGAAGGTGCTAGGTGATTGGGTTTCTGGTGAGGTCTCTCTCCCTGGCTTGCAGACGGCCGCCTTCTCACTGTGTCCTCACATGTTGAAGAGAGCACTCTGGTATCTCTTCCTCTTCTTATAGAGGCAACAGCCCTATTGGATTAGGGCCCCACCCTTATAACTTCTTTTAACCTTAATTACATGCTTAACAGCCCCATTTTCACATACAATTGCATTGAGGGTTAGGTTTTCAACATATGAGTTGGGGGGGATATGATTCAGTACGTAGCACCCATGTACTCACCTTTCTGTCTTTTACGGGGGCAGTGATTTGGCATTTTGTGGGCCTTATTGAAACTGCCAAGCTGGAGCTCCCTCCACCTAACCACACCCTTCCCTTCTCCCCCTGCACTTCCCTCCTCTGATGAGGAAGGTGGAAACTCATGGGAAGAATATTGTTAAGAGAGTTGCCTGGTGGTCAAAATACAAAAAGTTCTTCTGGAAGCGGGAAGGAGCCTGGAGTTTCCACGAGAAACACACTCATGCCAAGTCCTGGGGTGGCCCAGTGTGACAACTGTATGGACACATATTATTCCCATCAAAGATACCCCCAAATACACTTTTAGCTTCAGTTGTTCAGATATGTCACAATAAAAGTGAGTTTTTAGGAATATAATATGCACTCTCCCCCAAGTCATTGTTATTGGAATGACAATCTAGCCCGTCCCTTCCTGCACTCCTCCTGATGCTGAATGTCCTGCCAATCATTTATTTACTCAACAGGTACTGTGCCAGCCCCTGGAGAGAACCAGAGGGCACAATAGCTGCTCTCATGGCACTTACAGCCTAGTGGAGAGGCAATATTAATTAAATAATCATAACTAATGGTACAGGTCAATGGTATGCGCACCTCCAACAAGGAGGAGCAGCCTTGGCAGAGAGGGTAGGGAAGGCTGCCCTGAGAAAGTCTGTCGGAGTTGGATGGGAATGACGGGGGATGAGTAAGAGTCGACTGGGTAGATATTAGGAAATACAGTAGTTTTTTATGCTGCATACAGAAAATAGTAACAAACTGACAGCTTTGTTTTTTAACCACAAACTTAGTGCCTAAAAACAATACATTTATCATCTACAGTTTCTGTGGGTCGTGAGTCCAGGCACAGCCAAGCTGGGTGCTATGCAAGGCTGTAATCAAGGTTGCATTTTCCCATGGAGGCCTGACTGTAGAACTGCAGGAGGGGCCACTGCCAGGCTCACCCAGGTTGCTGACAGAATTCACTTCCTTGTGACTGTAGGGCTCATAGCAGCATGCTTTTTCAAAGCCAACAACGGAGGGAAGACTAGAGTGAGTCTGTTAGCAAGGTGGAGTCTTACATAACTTAATGTAATCACAGGAGTGACATCTGTCACCTCTGCCATATTCTATTAGAAGCAAGTCACAGGCCCCACCCCCACTCAGGGAAGTGAAGATCATGGGGTCACCTTAAAGTCTGGTCACCACAGAGAACCAAGCAAAGGGACTAGCAAGTGCAAAGGCCCTGGAATGGGAGGGAACATGGTCCATTTGAGAAATAGGAACACCAAAGGTGAGAGGAAGAAACGCAAGAGATGAGGCCAGACCAGGGAGGGACTTAGTCAAGATTCCAAGAGTAATGGGAAGCCATGGAAGAGAGGGTGGTGATGCAATCCAACACACACAGCCAGCCACTGCTACCCCAGGGCTTCTGGGCCTGTTCAGTGTGGATGAACGAATAACCCCATGCAAATCCAGCCAGAGAACTGGATGCAAGGGGCTTTCACCAAGGCAGGTGAATCCCATGGCCAGGTGGAAGCTTCACAAGGTCTGCCCTTGTTCTCGCCTTAATCTAGAGCCAGGGTCATACCAGGAGCTGAGTAAGTATTTCTGAATGAATTAGTTGATGGAGAGATGAAAGCCAGGTAGCAAGTCCAGAGCCTACATGGAGAATCTGATCAAAGGCAATCAGAGTTTTCTACTCCGAACCCCATGGGCCCACTCCGTCATCATAAAGAATTTCCACTGACAGCTCCACCCAAGAGAGAGCAGAAGCTCCTGGGAACAGAGCATCTCTGTCTCAACTTGGTGAGTTCCCACTCTTGGCTCCCAAGCTCTGTATACCTGTACCTTGCCTCTGGGCTGTTGCTGGCACCATTCATTGTTTGGATGACAGTGCTCTTTCTGGTTGGAGCTCAAACTATAAAAACAGGCACATGCCACCAGATTGGTACGGCCTTAAGCACACTGCCCACTTTCACCTTGCAGGCCACGGGTAATAGAGGGAGGGTTGCAGCCATGAAGAATCTTCTACTAAATGTTGGGATAGAGAAAGAGAGAGAGAGAGAGAGAGAGAGAGAGAGAGAGAGAGAGAGAGAGAGAGAGAGGAACTAAGTGTTGAATTGTAGTAAACAGGCAAATAATAAACAGGCTTTAAAGGAAGACTTTACGCTGAGTGGCCAGATTATTATGACCGGCCAGATTATTATGACCACCCCATCAGTACTTCATTGACACTTCCAAAAATACTGAATATTGAAAACTTCCTAAGCAAATACTCTCAAGGTTTTATTATTATTATTATTATTATTATTATTTGCAAAACTAATTCACTTCATTGTACTGATGGGGTGGTCATAATAATCTGGCCGGTCATAAAAATCTGGCGGCTCAGTGTATTATGCCTAAGTAACTTTGAAGAAATAATACCTCATTTTCTGAAATCTACAGCTATGGGCATTTGACAAGTCACCTGACATGACTTCCAAATGAGGAAATATTGAGACTGAAGCATCGTCCCCTCTGCCATTCATGCTGCTTTCCTACCTGCCCCTCTTCTCCCAGCCTCTTGGCTCCTGGCACCTTCTTGGATCTCATTGGTGCCTAACCACCATTCCCATCAGCCAGACCTTGGCTGGGCCTGACATTTAGATCTCAGGAGAGCACTCTGTGAATGAGAGGTTCCTCCTCTTTATGTTTCAGATGCGAGAACATGGTCATACAGCAGGCAGGTGGGAGAGCTTGCATGTGAACCAAGGCATGTCTGCTGTCATAGCCTGGGCACAGCGGACTGTTCCCAACCACAGTGAGAGGCCAGAGAATTTCTAGAGATACAGCATATGACCTTTGGCAAGCTCACTCCTCTGAAGCTATTTCCTCATCTGTAAATAGGCATAATAACATCTACCCTTTTGTGGCGGTTAGGAGTACTAGAGATAAGATCTCTAGAAGGCCTAGTACAGCACCTGACTCAGCCTAGATGTTATCTACAATTATCATCACCTTTTGAACATAGTCTCTCTCTTATGTTCCAGAAGCTCAGGAAATGGATGCTGCTCATCTCCCAATGAGTTCAGCACAGGTGATGATAAAGAGTTCCCCTCTTTACAATGCAGGAGGCCAGCAGGTCCAGGAGAAAGTGCATAGGATGGCCAGCCAGAAGCTTGAGCACCAGTCCCAGCTCCATGGGTCCTGGCTGTATGACCTCAGAGAAGTCATAACTTCTTTGAGTCTCAGTTTCTTAATCTGTAGGATGTAGATAAGAATAATAAGCAGCTTGCCTCCATTATAGGCTGTGGCTCGGTTTAAGTGAGATAATGGTCTGGAAATGCTTTGTAAAGTGGAAAAGTGTTATCCAAAAGTAAGGGGCTATTATCTTTATGATGATAGAGATCTAGTGTGGGTGGCCCCATTATGGAGGGTGGGGAGCAAACAATCTTCTTCTGCCCCTGGGAAAGACAGAACCAGAGGAAGAGGGCATAAGGTGACTGCAGTGGAGTTAGAAGGAATGAGTTTTGGGAAGCCAGGGTGGCTAACTGTGGAATAACAGACTACAGGAAGAGCACACCTGGTTTAAAGACACTCAGGCACTTCCATTAAAAAAAAAAAATCAAGTTATACTAATAAATATTAAAAGTCCCAAGAAAGGGCTGCCCAAATATGGTATAATTTACATATTCAATCCTAGCAGCACATCACTTATGGATCTAGGGGTACTGTGTCTGTTACAATTACATTGGCAGTTTCCCAGTCCCCAAAGATATTCAGAGATAAGATTCTTCTCCCAATTTCAATGTGTGGGTTTTTTCCTCACCACTAAGCAAGTCTCCAACACCAGCTGGGTGTCCTACAATTCAACTCAATTCTGACACTGACTACTTGGAGATAGTGTCAGATCCCATAGGTTATAGACTCAGTCCTACAAGACAGCCCCCCCCACCCCAGCCCACCCCACTTCAGATGCGAATCGCAAGTCCAAGTTGTCACCTGTGCTATAGATTGAAGATTCCAACTACTCCCTCTTGGGTTTGATCAATTTGCTAGAGCAACTCACAGAACTTAGAAAACATTCTACTTACTAGATTACCGGTTTATTACAAAAAGATACAACTCAGGAATGGCCAGATGGAAGAGATGCATGGGGGAAGATACTGGGTAAGGGTGCAGAGCTTTCACACGCTCTCTGTGTGGCACTCTCTCCAAATCTCCAAGTGTTCCTCAATCAGGAAGCTCTCCAAACTCCTCCTGCCGCAGTCCTTTTTGGTTTTAGTGCAGGCTTCAGGACAAAGGCAAGATTGATTAAATCATTGGCCATTGGTGACGGATCTCAATCGCCAGCCCCTTGTCCTCCTGTGATCGGGGGTGTGGGACTCAAAGTTCCAATAGTCCAATCACATGGCTGGCTTGGCTCTCTCAGTAGTGAAGTAGTAGCAGTTTTACTTGGGCTAAACACTTATATTTCAGCCTCACTTTCCTCATTCACAAAATGGGAAAATAGCTATGTTGACGGTACCCAAGATTATCATTTTAATTCCATCTTGGGCACATTGGGGGCAGAGGCAGAGGCAATGCTGCCTAGAGCAGCGGTTTTCAAAGTGTGTTGGGGGGGGGGGGGGGGGGGGCAGGCTGAGACCTGGTCTAGGAACCTGTGAGGGTACCTTTTTTCAATTGCATACCTGTATGAATCTGGGTATTCTTCATTTACTTGAATCAAAACATCACAACAAATTGAATGCAGAGACAGATGTAAAAATTCCAGCTGTCGTCTACTAAGCAGACATTAAAATGTTTGCAAAAATGTAAAACAATGCCACTTTTTTCCCACTAATTTTGGGGGGAAATATAAATTTAAAAATAAAAATACATTAACATTTTATGAACTAAAGAACACTTTTAAATTCTCAGTTTTAATTTTAATACAGGAATTATCAATAGATATAATCTACACAAACAAAAGGTCTTTGGGATCCTTAATAATATTTAAGAATGCAAATTTTGAGATCAAACGGTATTTTTGTTTGGAGGAAAGAATAGGGTTCCAGATCTAGATTTTTCAGGCACCTTGTGCTTCAGTGTTTTGTATCTCTCTCTCTTTCTCTCTCTCTCTCTCTCTCTATATATATATATATGTTGATTTCAGAGAGGAGGTAAGAGGAAGAGAGAGATAAAACATCAATGATGAGAGACAATTATAGATTGGCTATGTCCTGCATGCCCCACACTAGGGATCGAGCCCACAACCTGGGCATATGCCCTAACCAGGAATCCAATCTGTGAGCTCCTGGTTCTTAGGTTGATGCTCAACCACTAAGCCGACCTGTTTTTTTAATCGATTTTATAGAGAGAGATGGAGAGAGAGAAACATCGATTTGTTGTTCCACTTATGTATGCATTCATTGGTTGGTTCTTGAATGGGCCTGGATGGGGGATCAAACCCACAACCTTGGGGTATGGGGAAAATGCTCTAACCAACGGGGCTACACGGCCGGGCCTCTGTGCTTCCGTTTCTTAACCTCTAACTCAATAGTCATCCTTGTAACATGGGTGGTTATTAATCTCTTTTTTCGTGTTTATTTGTTGCATTATGTGTGTATACAGAGACTGTCTGTAGTCTAGAAGGACACACAATAAACTGTTACCAGTGGTTCCCCCTGGAAAGGGGAATTTGGAAACTGGGAGACCGTGATATCATAAACCTTTCTGCTGTGATTTGTGCTTTAATATATCATGCATACATTGCCTGGCTACATTTATTATTGAGCAATTAAAAAAGTAAAACTACACTTTTGTTTAGATGGTTAGGAATCAGAAGTCAGCTCAAGTAAAGCAGTGCTAACCGACAATTAAAACAAACAAAGAAACCAGTGAAGTTTTCCGTGCCTACCTTCGCGGGACTCACAAACACTTCGCGCAAGTCCCATCCCGCTCACCTCCGGCCCGGGGCGGCGGCCAAGTGTCCCCGCCCTCGCCCCTTGTCGCCGAGGTCCCGCCCACGTCAACGTCACTTCCGGAAGGATCCCTTCCCCGAACTCCCTCTGGCTCCCGCCTTCACCCGCTTCCGGTCGTCGTCGCCGCTGCTGCCGCTGCTCCTGCTGCTGAGGCTGCTGGCGGAGGCCGGAGAACCAGGCGGCGGCGGCGGCGGCGGCTGAGAGGGCGGCGGCGGGAGCGGAGCGGGACGAGGGAACGAGAGGAAGCCTGAGAGGAGCGAGCGGAGCGCACCGAGCCCCGCCCGCCCTTCCGCGCGCCAGGGCTGCCGGAGGAGCCCGAGCCCCCAGCCGCCGCCGCCGCCGCCGCCCGCCTGCCCGCCCTCCCGCCGCACAAAGCCCGAGATCCCGCGCCCAGAGCCATGTCCTCGTCCGCCGGCAGCGGCCACCAGCCCAGCCAGAGCCGTGCCATCCCCACCCGCACCGTGCCCATCAGCGACGCCGCGCAGCTACCTCATGACTATTGCACCACGCCCGGCGGGACGCTCTTCTCCACCACACCGGGAGGTGAGCGACCCCCGACCCCGGGCACCCTCCGGCCCACAGCTCCCGGAGCCTGCAGCCCGCTGCCGCCGCCCTGTCTCCCCAGCCTCCCGCCACGGTCCTTTAACTCAGGGCGTGTCCGCGCTGGGCCGCTGGCTGGGGCCAACCGGCCCGACCCGACCTGCCCCGCTCCACCAAAGCCCCGTGGGACTGCTTTCGGGAACCTTAACTTCGCGTTCTCTCGCGCTCGCAGCTCCATTGAGCGCGCGCCCACTCTGGAAACGTGGCTCTTCTTTGCAAAAAAAGGAAAAGAAAAGCCCTTGTTCCCGCTTCGTGGCACTAGACCTAGTTTTCTCCCCCTTCTCCGACTCCTCCCGGGCGAACTCGCCTGCACTCGGCCTTGCACGCGTTCTGCATCGCCTCTGCTTCTTGCGTGTTGTGCATTTGTGCACATTCACACTTGGTTTTGGAGCTGTCTGCTAGGCCTTTAAAGAAAGGAAGTTGGGGAGAGGAATTCGCTCCCGGGACCCTGCGACGACTTGTTTGGCTGCTTTTAGAACTCCAGGAGTCGGCTGGAATGCGGCGTTTGGAAGCCTCGCCCAGCTTATCCTGCTTTGACAGCATTGTTTACTTGGCGGACGAGGCCCCACGGGCGGGGGGAGTCCCGGGCTGGAGGACAGAGTGATGATAAAGTAACGCTCGAGTGATAGAGGGAAAGGAGGTGGGGGTGGAGGGGCGCTGGCAGCCGTCAGGGGGTAGGGTTTTGGCAGCGACGGGCGTGGAGATAGAATGAAGAGGCCGTGATTAAGGGGGCGCCCAGGTCCGTGGGATGGCTTGATTTTGAGGAAGGTGGTAGTGCAGAGGGAGGTTCCCGGGCATTGCTTTTCAAAAAGACGACCGGGAACTGTTTACAAGGAAGAACACTGGGGTAGAGGTGAAGCCCTGAATTGGTCAGGGGAAAAGGGAGCTCAAAGGTCGTGCGTCCCCTGACTGGCTGCTCTCCAAAGGGAGGAGACTGGAAAGAGATCTTGAGGGACCTCACTGAAGGAAACGGTGCTTCATTTTTATTCATTTTTAACTTCGGAACGTTGCCTTCTTTTGGTGATGGGGTGCCTTGTCGCTAGAGGGTTGGGACTGTGCTGGCAGCCCCCGCGGCCTCCAGGATTGCTGGATGGCGCTCGGAGGCTGGGCTCACCAGTGGTGCTGCACCCAAACCCGCTCAGTTAGGCCTTGGCGATCCTTGAATTCGTTGCACAATAGAAGGGACCTTAGAGTAAGAAGACATCCTTGCCAACAAGGGGTAAAAATCTGGGAGAGAGTTCTGCAGAGGAATCTAGCCAGGCTCTAGCTAGGGGGAGGGGTGGCTGGCTCGGAAGACTTTAAAATGACCTGGGCCGGAGAAGTTCATGCGTGGAGAGCTGAGTTTAAGGAAGTTTTAACTGCAAAGCAGTGGAGTTTCTTAGCGAGGTGGCCTTAGCTCATTGGAGAAACCTCCCTCCTGGCCTGATCAGTTTAAGGCCAGCCCCTGAACATGTTGAGACCTCGCTTTTTAATTGTGAAAGATTTTGGTGGAGCAGAATCTGCTCCGAACAGTGTCGTCTGAAACTTGAACTGACAGCTTTTAAGGAATGGGATATTGTTTTCTGAGGTGATGGAAAGGAATTTATAACGTAGAGAATTCTGTGGGGCCAGTAAATGCCTCTGCTTCATCTCATGGCACACATAACTTAATTACTAAAATCTGCAGCATACCAAAAAATATTTTGTGCGGATCTGACCAAAAATAGATGTAATTTTGGTTCATGCACACCGGATGGCTGTTGTCATTTTTATTTGACAATCTAAGGGAAAAGAGGTGAGCGCCCCTGACTAGTCAGGTATTGCATGTTTTTAAAATTCTTGTGGCACACTGGTTGAAAAATCACTGATATATAGTAATCATTATTCCCCTGAGGGAAAGGCACAGAGGGTCGCCCTTTTGGCATATTTCAAAGAGCCAAGCTACCATGCTTTTAAAATAAGGGCATGGTCTTTAGGCTTTGCTTTAAAGATAGAATCCAGTCTAGTAGTTTGGATTAGTTCCTAAAATGCTTGGAAAGATTCTGCCAAGAATACTGATTCATTTACCCAACACACTTTCTCAAATATCATTGAACCTGTCTCCAGATAGTCTCTACACACACAGTTGTTGTTGTTTGTTTTCCAGATTTAAATACTTGTCATGTTAGCTCATCTATTATATTAAGCCTGTATTCATTGGTAGACACATCCTGATCTTTGGATTTTTAACACAAAGACTTACATAATGTGTTTAGAGGATATGGCACTGTTGTGATTGGACTTAGTCACTATTTTATAGCAGTTAACGCAGTGCAGTTGAGATGTTTAATGCTTATTGATTTAATTTTCCCTTGGGAAATTTTCTGCCCTCATGGTTGTTCATTTCTCTTGTTAAATTCCTCGGTCTCTCCGCCCGCCCCCCCCCCCCCCCATGTAATTTTATTTCCCAGAACCAGGGTAAGACTGTTGTTTTTTGATCTCCTCCAGACACCTGAATTAATGTGGTTAGGTATCTTGGAGGTGAATTTTGTGGGCCCAGTGCAGTGCTTTGCACAAAGGAGGACTACAGACAAAAGTACAAAAGTAGGAAAGGCAATCCTTGTTCTGAATGGTGTTAAAATTTATTTTTTTTAAATCCTCATCTAAGGATATGTTTTTGTTGATTTTAGAGAGGGGAAGGGCAAGAGAGAGAGAGAGAGAGACAAACACATCAATGTTTTATATCGATCAGCTGCCTCCCTTATGCCATCCTGGGTATGTGCCCTGACCTGAATGGAACCCATGACCTTTCAGTGCACAAGACACTGCTCCCACCAACGGAGCCACACTGGCCAGGACTGAATGGTCTTAAAATCTTGGTGGGTATTGAGGATGGAAATGGTTTTTAGTTCTAGAACTAAATACTTGTACAGAGTTTAGTGCTAACATATATTTCAGACTTGAAAACATTTAGAAAAATTAGCGTCAGTAGGCTTGTCCTGGAAGCCTATTTCCTGGGAAGGAAGGGGATTAGCACTTCCTGTCTCAGACTTGGAGACATATACATGTCAGAGCATTCCAGGATAACGGTGTTGATGCCCTAAATGATCAGACTGGGCAGGCACTTTCACAACAGTGACCTTAACTATCTCCATCTCTCCCCTCTTTGAGTTCTTTATTCATTGGTTTCTCAAAATTGCCTTCCTGTGGTTTGAGAAATGAGAGGCGGGTGAAAACACACTTGCTGTAATCTCTTAGATTTCTCGTGTTGCTTTTTCATTATTAGGGAAGAGAACAATTTTTGTTGAATAAATTATAAGAAAAAATGCCCTTGGATTTTATTTTATTTCGGTTCTTTGAGAAGCTACTTCTAGCCTCAATGGAAGGTAAAGTTATTATTTGGCTTCACTCTCACAACACTGATTAGCTGAGAGAAACTGAGGCCCTGAGAAATTAAGTAACTTGTTAGTGCGTGCCATACTGCCAATTAATGGCAGTGGGTAGCCTCAAATTTAGTGTCCTATCCCTATCCCAGTTTTCTCCTCCTCCTATCATAAGATGCTTATTTTGCTGAAAAAGGAAGTTTTCAGACATTTAAAGAAACTTTTCTACCTCTGGAATGCTAGCTAATGCGATTTTTTCTGCTACCTTATTCCTTTTATAAATTCTGAACTGTCTCCTTCAGGGAGGCTTGTGCTCTGGGGAATGAGCAGAAATATAGACACTTCTTTTAGCCTTTCTTTCTGCCTTTTTTCCCTGCATAACAGCCTCATCAGCTGTGGAAAAAATATGCTGTTGCCATAACAAGAGCACCAGAGGGGAACTAACTATGATGGCCTGAAATCTTGTTCATGCCTTTACTCTTTCTCTCTGCCAGAGTTGTTATTGGTTCACTGGGCCAGAATTACCTGAAGGCCATTGGAAGGGTCAGTAAACCAAGGAGAAGGCGGAAAGAAGGGGAGAGAATCTGTTCAGATGGTTAATAAAATAAGAGTACTTTGGGGGAGTCCTGAGTTTTAATCTGGTTTCTTAGGAGAGAGGAATAGAGCTGTGTGTGTAGATATGGGGAAGGAAGGGCAGTTTCTGCTGTTGTAAAACTTCTAATTCAGTGACCTTGGGCTGAGTTTATTCTAGGCCAAAAACTTCTGAACAAACAAATGAACTCTGGTTCTCTAGCTTTCGTTAATTTATGAAAGGGCTTTCATTATTACATGTGAGAAGTGCATGAAAAATATAATGAAAGGTGGCAATCATTTTGCCTTGTATTCAAGGAAGATGGCATTTACTTATCTCAGAGTAACACAGTTTGACATGTGTTGCCACTCCATGGGAGAGTCAGCTTTAGTCTCATATTCATGAGCAGCCAAAGGATTTATTAAAGAAGATGTACTTTATTTTTTTATGTTGGGTGCATTTTTGCTGATGAGAAACTGAATTCTGAGCCTGGAGAAAGGAGTAAGCAAGTCCTCATCCTTGGGGCACTCAGCAGTGCTTTAAGCCAGGTGCATCCTGGCAAGAGAAGACAGGGCTCTTACAAGTAGGGGTTGCAGTGTGCAGGACAGACCTGTGCAACGTGGAAGTGTCTAATAGTAAGGATGAAAAGGGACGAATCTGTAAACGAGCTCTCCCAGGGGTTATTTAGCAAAGACTTTGAGGACTGGAGTCTTAGGGACAATTTTATAGTAGGGGGTATTGCATGGCTTACAGACACAAGTTAGTTCAGCTGGTTGGAGAAGAAGGGAGCCCGAGCAGGAGAATAGTTGATTGGTAAAAATGGCAGAACTTTTTCAGGACTTCAGAAGAACAAATTAATATTTAAAAGATTTTTGTTGCTCCATTTATACTAGGACAAAAGTCAGCTGAGACTTTCAGTCATTCACTGATTGAATAGATGAAGCCTAGGTTATCATTTTCAATTTTTAAAAAAAATATGGTTTTGTTGATTTCACAGAGAGAAAGGGAGAGGTAGAGAGAGAATCATCGTT